ACTTTTATATATATATATATATATATGTACACACATATCCCCGGACGATTTGTTGACTACTATGTTTGAATACTCCTCCTGTAGAGGGACATGCCCGATTCAAGTCTAGCCGGACAAATTTGAGCGACGAAACGACAGGGGCCTTACGCGAGACGGCAGAGCAACTTTACGCGGCGGCTCACGCGGGCCGCCAGCGGGGCGCACCGTATTGGAGACGAGAGGGCGCTCACGCGCGACCTTGCGCGGACAGCTTGCGCGCCAATGTCGGCGCAAACGACCCCGTCGTTTGCGTCGCTCATGTCCTTGGACGTCCGAAATGGGTACAGTAGGGGCCCGACCACAAGAAACCTTCCACAAGAGACCCAACCCTGAGACCCCAGGACGTCCATGGATTTTTGGTGTAGGAAAGTCGCGCTCTCCATTGCAAAACCATCGAAACCCAAGAAATCCAAGGCACCCTTGAGGCCAGTTCTTGGCATTGGTCTCCACGGTACGGAAAAAATTGTACAATGCCCAGCAACACATGTTGTCCAAAACCGACACCGGCCACTGTTGCGCAGGCGGATCTTTTGCCTTCAATGAAGAGGGTCCGCGGCGGCGCGGACAGCGAGTCCTGCTCGAAATGAACAGGAACTGCTGGTGGGCATCGTACCCATTCTTTCCATACCCATATCGGTCGTCCCGAATTTGGGAGGTCTAGATCAAAAGGATTGCCCCGCCCTGGCTGGAAGGCACCCCTGGGTTATGTTATTCTCATCGTACTTAAGGACCGCATCCCAGAAATAATACCGAGCACCCCGAGAGGTATCGAAACAATGTCTGCCCGACGCGCTGGTAAAGCGCCGAACGAGTATCGCCTCCCAGGGCCCGACACGTGAAAACCCGCCAGTTTCGATCCCTTCCTGGTGCTCGAAGTTCTTTGTGGCGATCTAGGCTACAGCAGGTTGGAACATTAGAACCCCCTGGGATCTGTGCTAAGGTCGGGCGTGTCCTCCTACAGGCGGATTTTGGTTGAAAAATAAACGATCGCCAAAAGATGATCAAGAATGGTCAAAAACGAGTGGAACATCGTCCCCAGACTGTCTTTCGACTATCTTCGAATCTTCCTCCCGTGGCGGGACAGGCCCGCCTGAACCCCTGGGGACGACCGCGGCCGCGGCCTCTCGACTAAGGGAACGAACGATGACATAAACATAAAAACTCGGAGGTCCGCGCGGATTTCTTGGGTACTCGCTGGACCCCCCTCCGTGGCGCGCGGAGCGCGCCGGGGGCGGCGCCGGAGGCGCCGCCAGGGGGCCCCAGCGCCGATCCGAGAGATCCGCGCGGGCCTCCGAGTTTTTATGTTTATGTCATCGTTCGTTTCCCTCTCGACGCCGAGCCCCCCGGCGCCAACCCCCCGGGCGTCCTTGAACTTCTCGGGGTCGCCGCCCTGGGGCCGCGCGGGGGGGGGGCCGCCGCGCGGACTCCCCCTCTCTCGGCAGTGGACCAACCTCCCTGTCGTAAGCCTCCCTTTCGAGTGCAAAACGGCCTGGGACCGATTTTTTTCCAACATCAACAAGGACTCGCACCAGCAAGGCTGGAACTGTAGTGAAATAAATCATGATTTTAAATCGTGCTTTAAATCCGCCTCAAATGGTGAGGTCTTGAACACTCTCGGACTCCACCCGCAGACTAGAGCTGACGGACCTGGACCGGCAAAAATGACGGCGACGCCCCCTCGCGAACCGAAGCCGGCCAATTCTCGCCAAGCGACGCGGCAGGGCGGGAGGCCCATCGGCCTCCGCCTCTCGCCGCCCGGGGCGAAAGAGGCCCCGCCTCCAGGGCCTGCGGGTGCCTCTCGGCGGCGCACCCGGCTCGAGGCCTCCAAGATGGGGCCGCGGAGCAGCCGGGGGCGGGGCCGGAGGATCGCGCTGCGCCGCCGCTGCGTCGACGAGGCATCGTCGGTGCCTCGCCGACGTCGGCGACGCCTCGGCGAGGTCGGCGCGAAGGGAAGGCGGGCTCCGCATCGAGCCGCGTCGTCGACGCCTCGGCGATGCGGCGCGATGCTCCGACCCCGGCTGCTCCGACTCCCACCCGGGAGGCCCAGACCAGCGGGGCAGGCAGAGGGGCGGGCCTGCTTCAGGAGAGGCCTTCGGGCTCCCGAGAAGCTCCCGGGGGCCCTCTCCGCTCGGAACGCCTCTGGCCGTCCAGGGAGTCCGCTCCACACAGCGTCGCACTGCTGCAGCAGCCGTCGACCCTAATGCGACCTTCCGAGACCTCAGCGCCAGCTCGCGTGCAGCCCCAGCGTTGTAACCCTGCGCGGGCGAGAACCATCCCGCAGGGATACTGAGGAGGGGGAGGAGGAGGAGGAGGAGGAGGAGGAGGAGGAGGAGGAGGAGGAGGAGAGGAGGAGGAGGAGAGGAAGAGGAGGAGGGGGAGGAGGAGGACGAGGAGGAGGAGGAGGAGGGGGGAGGAGGAGGGGAGGAGGAGGAGGAGGAGGAAGAGGAGGGGGAGGAGGAGGGAGGAGGTGGAGGAGGAGAAGGAGGAGGAAAAGGAGGAGGAGGAGGAGGAGGAGGAGGAGGAGGGGGAGGAGGAAAAGGCTCCTCGGAAGGCCTCTCGGGCCTGCTGAGAAGCCCCGCCGCCCTCTGAGGAGGTCCGTCCCCTCGCGCGCCTCCCCCCCGGGCGCGCCGCCGCGTCTCCTCGTCGCGTCGGCAGCGCCCCTCTCGCGACGACTCGCGCGAGCCTCGCTTCTGGAACGGTTGGTGGGGATGAGCGAATCGGGCACACACCCATCTTTTCCTCCTCCTTCCTTCCTCCTCCTTCTCCTCCTCCTCCTCCTCCTCCTCCTCCCCCCTCCCCCTCCTCCTCCCCCCTCCTCCTCCTCCTCCTCCTCCTCCTCCTCCTCCTCCTCCTCCTCACGCTTTTTTTGTTTGATTCGTGGGTCGAGAGCGCACCTCTTCCGGTCGAAGCTAAGCGTGCCGCGCGCAGCTTGAATTAACAGAGAGGGGGGGAAGGGAAGGAGCGCAGCCTCACGGCGAGGCCAGGAGGAGGCAAAGCCTCGGGATCAGGCGGTGCCGAAAACGACGTGCTTGCAAAGGAACGCCTTGTACACGAATCGGGCACACGCTGCCATGGATTACGGACCTGTGGATCGGGCGCGCGGGCGCCCGATCGGAGAAGGCACGCCCGAAGCATGAAGAGCCAACGCCGCCTGGTGTTGCGACCGAGCGCGCCCGATTGCTATGGAAACGGAACCCGTCGCTTGACGAACGAGCAACACACACCCATACCCACAGGGGGGTCGTTGAGAGGAGGACTGGCTATGGGTATGGGTGCGGGTTGTCGGACCCTGGGGAACGCTCCCGTTCGAGCGGGGACCCCCATCCGACAACACGCACCCATAGCCCTCTCCGACCCCCCTATGGGTATGGGTGTGTGTTGTTGGTTCGTCATCGCTAATCCCCACGGCGCCTCAATCCTTGCCTGCGCCTTCCTCGGGCGAGGCGTCAAGGACGTCTGCGTCCAGGTGTGGGACTCCACGAGGCGTCCGGAGCTGCTCTGGACGAAAGAACTTCCCTCCACCTGCACATCGAGTAGGAGATCGGTCACAGAATTGAACGAAATTACGGACAAATATTTAGAATGCCCCGTAGATATACGAATATTCTACACATTTGTTTGTAGATTCGACAAAAAGCAACTTTGGGGTAAACATGTAGTCGATATCCTACTCGAGTTCTGGGGGGGCCTGGGGGCGAACAGGACCTCACACGTGCGGGGGCTCGGCTGCATGGCTGGCACCACACACCTGCGCAGAGAGGGGCCAGTGGTCGACTCTACGACCCCTACTACCGCACCGAAGCCATCCCTCGGTGATTTGAAGCTGGGGTCCTGATGGATGGGGCCCTGAGGATTGGAAGGAATCCAAGGGTTGATTCGCATTTCTTGAGGCACCTCGTCCTCAGGACCCCACCCCTCAATGTTGGACAATCGAAATGGGTAAGAAAAGAAAGGGTACGGCGCCCGACAACAACTGCTGTCCAAAACCAACAGCGGCCGTCGTTGGGCAGGCAGCCCTCTGCCTCAGATAAAGTCCGATGGGACACCAACAGCAAGCCGTGTTCAAAGGAAAAGGGAATGCTTTCGGTCATTTAGAGGCCTCATAGATGGGGTCGGAGTATGTAGATGGAGTCGGAGGATCGCGCCGCATCGCTGGTGCATCGACGATGCATTGACGATGCATCGGCGATGCGCGATGCCCCAGCGATGCAGCGTCGACGTCGGCGATGCATCGGCGACGTCGACGTGAAACAAAACGGGATCCACATAAGGACGCATCGCCGATGCATCGGCGATGCGGCGCGACCCTCCGACGACATCTGCTCGGACCCCTTCTTGGAGGCCTAGAGTCTTCGTACCCATTACTTCCGTACCCTGGGCCGAACCTGCGTCGAACCTGAGTCGCACTTGAGTCAAACTTACGCAGAAGGCATCTATACACCACCACCGTGCCAGGCCAGGGCCATCTTGGCCCTGGCATGGTGTATACGCCATCATGGCCGAGGCCAGGAGGGTCTGTACACCGTCCTGGAACCCAGGATGGCCCTGGCCTGGCACGGTGGTGTATAGATGCATTCGTCGGAAAACTGGAACCGAACTGGAACCGCACCGTAGCCGAACAGATCTGTCGGGTGTGCCCTGGCAAGGGCCCCAAAACCAGCATCGAACCTCTCCGTGCTCCCACCTCGCCGGTGCCGACAGCACCCCCTCTTTGAACCCCCGGGCGCGGCCCAAGAGCGCTCGGCAAGCACTCCGGAGAGCCCTGGAAGGCTCTGGGAGGAGGAGGAGGAGGAGGAGGAGGAGGAGGAGGAGGAGGAGGAGGAGGAGGAGGAGGGGAGGAGGAGGGGGAGGAGGAGGAGGGGGAGGAGGAGGCCCGGCTGAACGCCCCCGCGGCCCGCAGGCGGACGCCGCCCGCGCGCCCAGGCCTTGTCCGGGTGGTGCGTCAGCGCCGCCTCCCGGCGTGGCCGGGGCGGAGGGGGGGGGGCGGATCGAGGAGCTCAGGGGGGAGGAGGAGGAGGAGGAGGAGGAGGAGGAGGAGGAGAGAGGAGGAGGAGGAGGGAGGAGGAGGAGGAGGAGGAGGAGGGAGGGTGAGGAGGAGGAGGAGGAGGTGAGGAGGAGGAGGAGGAGGAGGTACAGGAGCGAGGGAGGAGGAGGAGGAGAGGAGGAGGAGGAGGGAGGCCGCAGTATGGGTCGCAGTAGAGCCCAGAGGCCCCAAAGAGGCCCCAAAGAGCCCCCAAAGAACCCCCAGACGGCCCCCGAGAGGCCCGGAGGCCCCCCGAGAGGCATGCAACAAGGAGGCCTCTCGGGGGCTGCATGTCCATCCAAGAGGCATTCATGTCCCCAAAAGAGGCTCCAAGAGAGGCCGAGAGGCCCCCCGTGAGTCATCCCAGAAGAGGCATCCCAAAAGGACCGTCGTATCCATCCAAGAGGCCTCTGACCCACGCCCCAGGCACGGTGGCCGGATGAGCCGAAGGCCACTGGGTACACCTACACCGAGCATGGCAAGGCCAGGATCAGTGCGGTTGTGCAGTTGGCGCCCTCCCGCTGATTGGGTAGGAGGTGATCCTCACACGTGGGCAGCTCCCTCCCTCCATGGGGCGCGGCGCTTGGACCCAGGCCCCCACTAAGATAAATGCGAAGACGAGGAGGAGTAGGAGGAGGTGGAGGAGGAGGAGGAGGAAGAGGAGGCGGGGGAGGGGACGGAGGAGGAGACAAGATGGAAAAGAGGGCATTGCGAGCTACGAACGTAATTCGCATGGGGAAAGATCGGACGAGTAATCGCGACAAGTGACGCCCACGCTGGCAAAATCGCACTGACACGGATTCCCAGCCTTGAACTAGATATGCGATCAGAGAGGAGAGAGAGAGAGAGAGAGAAACAGAAAAACAAAGACAACAAAAAAGAAAGAGAGGAGAGAGGGATAGGAGAAGCAGGGAGAGAGACAGAGAGAAAGAGAGAGAGAGAGAGAACCAAAAAAAGAGAAAGATAGGTAAACTCAGCGAGACAGAGACAAAGAGAAACCTGCGTGCACCGCCATAGCCCCTTCCTGAGACTTCCTGGGCGAACCGATGCCTCCCCGACGCTTTCCGACGCATCCAAGATGCTCCAGATGGCTTCCAAGACGGCCCGGGATATTGCCCAGCATTGCCTAAATAGCGACCATCTGCAGACCCTCCAACGGCGGCTCACAGGCGTCAAGAGACGCTCAAGAGGCCCTCCGAGAGGTCTCTGAGAGGAAGTGTTGTATCGAGGGGGGAGGAGAAGGAGGAAAGCTGAGGGGACGAGCGGCCACCAAGCGACGAGCCGCCACACGAGCGTGAGCGGATGCAACGAGCTGGCGGAAAGCGAATTGGGCGGAAAGCTCCCGCGACCTGCCCGGGTATGTAGTCTGATTGCGCGCGTGTGCATTCTGCTTGCCAACGTGCAATCTTGCCCACGCGTTTGCCTGACGCAAGGCTGCAGTCAGTCAGTCAGTCTGGGTAAAATGTGGCACTACTCGAAGCGGAGAAGTGAGCCTGCGAGACAGAAAAGTGCAGCGGAACGACCTTGGACTCTTCATGTGCTACGCCTTCCGAAGCGGACCCAAGCCGGCCCAAGACGGCACAGGGGACCCCCACAGGACAGCTCCGCAGTGGGCCACGACCGCCGCGGGGGCGGCTCCAAGACGGCCAGGAACGGCCCCAAGGCGGCAGAGAACGGCCACCAGTCCTCCTCCTCCTCCTCCTCCTCCTTCTCCTCCTCCTCATCCTCTCTCCTCCTCCATCCGCCTCCTCCCTCATCCTCATCCTCCTCCTCTCACTTCCTGCTGATTGCTCTCCTCCTCCTCCGCTCCCTCCTCCTTTACTCCTCACCCATCCTCTCCTCCTCCTCACTCCTCCTTCCTCCTCCCTCCTCCTCATCCTCCATTGTCCTCCTGCCTTCTCCTCCTTCCTCCTCACTCCTCTCCTCCTCCTCCTCCTCCTCCTCCTCCTCTCACCTCTCGTCCTCCGCGCCTCCTCCTCCTACTCCTCCTCCTCCTCCTCCTCCTCCTCCTCCTCCTCCTCCTCCTCCTCCTCCTCCTCCTCCTCCTCCTCCTCCTCCTCCTCCTCCTCCTCCTCCTCCTCCTCCTCCTCCTCCTCCTCCTCCTCCTCCTCCTCCTCCTTAGTCATCCCGCTCCCATCCCTCTTCTGTTGCCAGAAGGGCGCCCATGCACCGTACCTTGCCTGGACTCCCTGCAGGCCCGCTCCAGCGCGGCACGGTACAGGGTCCTTCGGCTCTTGAGTGCCGCAGCGGCTACGCACCGACCACTCCCAGGTCGAGAGCGACGACGTCTCGGGGGACGCAAACTCCGTACGGTGCACACAGGACATCCACGGACTCTTCAGTGGCGGGGCACCAAGGCTCTGCGGCACCTCCCTACCCCCCTGAGTGGAAGAAAAAGAGCCAGCGTAAGCATAAACTTTCAGAGGTCCGCACTGATTTCTCGAAGCCGCGCTGGGCCCCCCTCCCTGGCGCGCTGAGCGCGCCAGGGGCGGCGCCAGAGGCGCCGCCAGGGGGGCCCAACGCAGATCCAAGAAATCCGCGCGGAGCGCCCAATGTTCATGTTTATAGCGCTCTTTCTTCTAATTACGGCAGAAGGCGCAGACACGCAGTTGCCCTGTCTCTGTCCTGTCGCCGTGCGCGGGGCCGCGACGCCAGAAAACCATGATCGACCCACGAACCCGGAAAGGAATATAGAAATGTAAGGCATTGCAACATTTCAAAGACACCTGAATGGGCGACGGGCACATGCTGTGCTGAATGTATCGATGATGATGTACTGTGCCGAAGGCTGTGTGTGCTACGCCGTGCTGAACTGCGATGTGCCATGCCGCGATTGTGCTCTATATAGCGTTGTGGATCGAGTCCTCCCTGGCATCCGAGTCCTCACCGAACTGATCTGGATCGTAAGCTCGAGCTGCCTGAGCAGATGGTAGCTGCCCCAGAACTAATCGACAGAGGGAACATGCCATGAGGACGCGCTGCGGAACGTCCCAAGGGACGCGCCAGGCGACGTGCCAGGGGACGTGCCAAAGGGACGCGCCACGGGAGACGCACCGCGGGAACGTGCCAAGGGGTCGCGACTACGGAACGTCGCAGATGGACGTGCACGCGCGATCGTGCCAGGAGGACTGACACGGGACGCTCCGCGGAACGTTGCGAGGCAACATGCCAGGCTGCAATGCTAAGGGTATCGATATTGATGTACCGTGCCGAGGGCTGTGCTGTGTCTGGGCGACCTGGACACGTGAAAACACCCGTTTCGCTCAAGACGTTGTCAGCACATCCTCATGCTAGACATCCGCCTGGGCAACCTGGACAAGTGCAAACAAGCGTCTCGCTCGAGACATCCTCAACAGATGCTCATGCTAGACATCCGCCTGAGCGACCTAGACACGTGAAAACAAGCCTCTGGTTCGAGTCATCCTCAAAAATCCTATGCTAGACTTTGTCTGGGCCACCTGGGAGGCGTTGAAAACCAAGCGTATCGCCTCGAGACATCTCAGACCTGGGCACGTGAAAAAAAGCAAATCCTTGAGAGATCCTCAGAATTCAGGTCCCCAGGAGAGGACAATCTGTAACACAAAACAAGCGTTTCGCTCGAGACATCCTCAACAAATTCTGAAAAACAAGCGTTTCGCTCGAGATGTCCTCAAATTTTAATTCGCCGGCCCTACGCGACCTCAATATTTATCGCAAAAGAAATTCGCCGGCCCTACAGCCGTCAAAACCGGTGGTAAACCTACTAAAAGAGAACCCTGGGCCTACGCCCTGCGTGTGTGCCCCAGCGTCGTGGCGCGTGATACTGGAGCATCGGCGCCCCTTCTATCAGTTCCTCGGGCCTCCCCCCTGTCTCGGTGTGCCTTCCTCACCCTCCGTGTGCCTTCCTCACCCTCAGAATTACTCTGGATGGGGCAGCAATCGCCCCCCCCCCGCTGCATCCCGCTAGGGGGGGAGGAAGACGAGGAGGATGAGGAGGGGGAGGAGGATGGAGGGGGGCGCGACTGAGCAGGCTCAATCAGAAGTGTAATCACCCCCCCCCTTGATTCTTGGTCTGAACAAAAATCAGAGAACGACTTTTTCTTCATCGAAGGGGGCCAGCAGGACAAGCAGTTCCACCCTCGACCCCAAGCGGCAGCAGCCAGGCGGTGGCGCGCGCGCGGCAAAGCAGCAGAGAGGGGGAGAACAAAGAGGGGCAGGCGGACTTCGCTGCACCGTCGTGGACCCGAGCTTGAAACCCCGTGAGACAAATTGCAAGAAAACAAACATGATCGACCCACGAACCCGGAAAGGAATATAGAACTGTAACACATGGCAGCGTTTTCAAAGACACCTGATTGGGTGACGGGCAAATGCAATGCTGAGTGTATCGATCTTGATGTACCCTGCCAAGGGCTGTGCTGTGCTGCGCCGTGCTGAATTGCGATGTGCCATGGCGCAACTGCGCTCTATAGCGTCGTGGATCGAGTCCTCCTTTGCATCCGAGTCCTGACCGAACTGATCTGGATCTTAAGCTCGAGCTGCCTGAACACATAGTAGCTGCCCCAGAGCTAATGGACAGGGGAACATGCCAGGAGGACGCGCCGCGAAACGTCCCAAGGGATGCGCCAGGCGACGTGCCAGGGGACGCGCCATGGGGTCGCACCGTAGGACGTGCCAAAGGGACGCGCTACGGAACGTGCCAATGGATGTGCCACGGAATGTGCCAGGGGACGCGCCACGCGACGTGCCAGGGGGACTCGCCAAGGGACGCCCCACGGAACGTGCCAAGGAACGTGCCAGTTGCAATGCTGAGTGTATCGATCTTGATGTACCGTGCCGATCTGTGCTGTGCTGCGCCGTGCTGAATTGCGATGTGCCATGGCCGCGGTTGTGCTCTATAGCTCGTGGATCGAGTCCTCCTTTGCATCCGAGTCCTGACCGAACTGATCTGGATCTTAA